TATATCCTGTTTGCTTTCCATCAGGTGAAAAACGGGATGTGTGTGTGCAGGTGACAGCCTGTCCCATTTTAACATTTAGAGTTCCAGTGACAGGACCAGCATAGAAGCAAAATGAAATTTTCTTTGTGTGCCATTTCAGCTGAGAGATGAGGTTCCTAGTAAGGGCTTTTAGAAGGACTCAAGGAGTGCTGGCATCAGTCCAAGGGAGATGGATTATGGAGGCTGGTGAAACAGTGAAAGAATGAATAAATGAATAATTTTGTACCATGTGTTACAGCCCACTCTTCCCACACCATGACTGCTGGCAGTGATGTCGCTCATTGGGCCTGATCACTTGCTTTAGGTCACTCCTCCATCGTTAAATGGTGCACTTATTTAATTTGAAGAAAGTGCAATCAATAAAAAGAGATCCTTTTATCTTGCTCATCAATCTCTTGTTAATGAGCATGCACTTTTTTCTTATTAGATTCTTGGTTACAATGCTTTTAATTTCTCAGTGTATGATAGAAAAGGGGGTGCAATCAAACACATGATGGAGCAGTTGATGCTGCATGCTGCTGCTTGCTCTTTTCTGAAGAACTGGCATGTTCTTAAAGGAAAGCAGCGGTCTGAGTGGGTGCAGGGATCACTTGTCCTGCGCTGATATCTGGTTCTCTGTTCATCCTTTCTTAAGCTGTGATCCTGCCATGTGAGCCTGTAAAGATACGTTTTAATTTCCCAGTGTCCCAGTAGTTGCAAGAAAGCAGATAATTCTAAGGGAATCTTAGATATTTGAAATCCAGTGTCTTCCACGAGAATGATTCACCAAGCCTAGTTTCCAAAACTTTGAGCAGGTTTGGGTCTGATTATGGTGTGACTGAAGGGTCAGATGAGTTAAATGGTCTTTGCTGCTCTAGTTTTCAGGATGATGTCAGTCATGTTCTATTCACATCTTTGTGGTGACCAGAGAATGATCCTCTGCAGCTTGGTATTATGAAGTCAGCTTCCTTTTAGCACCAGTAAAATTGGCAAACAGATAGAACATGTTCCTTCTCATCACAGGCTGGAGGTTAATGCTGTCTTTGGCTCTGTGTATCTCCTTGAGTCTTTTGGGAGTGAAACTTTGCAAAAAATCGTTTGATTCTTTACAAAAACACTCCACAAAATAAAATTACACTTTTCTAAGGCTCTGATTTTCAACCTGTCATTTACATATGGCAGGAGTCCAAATCTCAGTCATAGATTAGCTTCATTAGTGTAGACTCAAACTGCTTTTTCCTCTCAGCCAAAGAGGCCCAAGCCACATGGTAATCAGAAATAAATCTTTGCACAAGAAGCTAACCTAATTATGAACAGGCAAGTTATTTCCTTCCTTATCCTTCTGTATTTACCACCAATGGGTTACCCTTGTAAAACTTTGTTACCTCCAAGGTCATGCTTCCTCCTGTTTTCTTCCTGGGTCTCCCTTTCAGTGAACCAATTGCTGACCTTTTCCAGGCACTCATCTCCTCCAGTCAGGGCCAGAACCCATGTTTAAGCACAGCATGCCAGTGCTAGCATGTCACTACAGAAACGTAAAAAGCTCAAAACTGAAGCTGTGGGGTGAAGAGTTTCTGCATTGTTTTGGGGGTAAGAGGAGCAGAAAGGACCCTCAAACTCAGCAAACTGTATCTTCAGGCCCAGAAGTGAGAGACCATCATCAGCCAGCCTTTACTGCAGGTTCGAGAGCTGTCACGGAAGGTGGTGTGCTCCCTTACCCCTCCCCGACGCGGTGAAAAGAGCGCGGGGTTGCATTTTGGCCCAAAGATTCCCGAGAGGAGCCGGCCCATGCGGTATCGGATGGCAGCACGGCAGGCAGGCTGTGCCCTCCTGGCCCTGGCTTTGGCCACCTGTGGCGCGGGGCCTGGGGATGCTGCCTGGCGGATGATTCAGCACCGCCCGTCTGCCTTCCTGGCCGCGGGAATACCGGGAGCCGCCGGGCACCGCCGAGGGCGGGGGCAGGGTGGCGGGCGCCGCCCCGCTCTCCTCGCCGCAAGCCCCCGCAGCCCCCGGGGGGCTGAATCAGCTCTGCAGGCTTCCCTGGGAAGGGATACGAGGGGAGGAGGAGGAGGAGAAGGAGGTCTGGTCGGAGCTGGCTGCGTGATGCTGAGGCAGGCAGCCTGCGCGCCAGGTCTGGAGGCGCGGCGGGGGAAGGGACCCGCAGCGGAGGAGGGCACTGCAGCCTGGCCGGGAGCCAGGGACCACGGACACGCTGCGGCCACGGAGCCGACGGGGGGGGAGGGGGGGTGCGGGTGTGCCTGCCTGCCTGCCTGCCTGCCGGCAGGAGCTGCTGCGGGCAGGCTGGGCCCCGCCGGTGCAGGAGGGCGTGAAAAGGGCAGGGAGAGATGCTGTCCAGGCTCACTTTAGCCTGGCGGGCTGGGGCACGAGCCCTTTGGCAGAGCCCTTTGCCGGTCCGTGCGAGCTGACAGCCCCTCCGGCAGCAGGGTGGGAAGGGGGGCGATGCACCGACCTGCAGAGGAGCCCCTTGATGTGTGCCCGTGCAGGCAGCACTCCGTTCCTCTGTCCAGCTCCACAGCACTGTGTGTATTTGGCTTAACTTAACAAGGCAACCCTTGTAAAGAAGGTGCAAGGCTTCCACATGAGTTTCTGTTCATCGCAGCACCAGCAAGATGTGAACAAAGCAGAAACATAGTTTAAAAGAGAGAAGTTAAATGTGAATAGGATGGAGGGTAGCAAAGATTACTGAAGGGTGAACACAGGCAGTTTGCCAGGAGGACCAGTGCAGGAAATATGTGGACGGGCAGTGAATTAAAGACAAGCTCAGAGAAGTGTCAGCAGGGAAAAGGTTCTTACTGGAAATAGGGAGGTTGAAAAATTAGGCATGGATAAAGAAGGAAAGGCATTTTAAACCATTTCTGCCAAGCCCTCAGATACTGTAGTATCTCATCTGTGCAAGGAAGAGGATATTCCCAGCTGGTTCTCAGCTTGCACTCCTCTTCGAAGAGTGATGCTGTAGCTTCACACCTGAGGAGGAGCTTGTGTATGCAGAATTGTGTCTGGTTTTCCCAGATTTATCAGCTAATCTAATAAAAGGTACATCCTTTTTCTAGAAACCTTGATTACTTGTACCCACGGACCACCACAGCTGTCACAGCAATGCTGCTGTGATGTTACACTTTCTACAGTGGCTGTGTTGCTACTGCTGTTTGAAATAGGTTTTGAAATACTCAGAGAGGCTGCAGTCATGCAAGGAATTACCAGCTAAGGAGAACATGTGCTTTATAGTAAGAGAAGCCATGTATGTAAATATGCAGTGCAAGCTGTTAATTCTCTCTGAGGTTACTGATCACATCATTAACCTAAGGACCAGACACTTTAGCGGTAATGTAGGCTAGATTGTATGATGATTTATCTTTTTACATTCTTCCAGAGAGTGTTATCACTGGCTGTGCTTTAAGGTAAATGCTCCAGGCACTTGATTGTAGCAGCATCATGATTACTTCAGTTGGCTACCACAGCCTCACAGGAAGCTCTGCGATCAGACATCCATCAATTAGTCCTTGACATGGCAGTCTGTGGAAACACAGTGGGATTCACTGAGATTTTTGATAAACCTTTTTCATGTGAATGTTACTAATGTTCCCATGGAAGGGGGGGTTGGGGTGGTAGGAGAGATGGAGGCAGAGAGAGAACATGGGTAGAGCCAGATGCTTCTTTTAACACTACCAAAAATACGCAACTACAAAGGAATTTACCTTTCAGATGCCTGACTAAGATACCAGCAAAAATGAGTTCAGAGCAATTTGTAGCACTTGATTCTTTGTTTCCTTATACATCCTGCTGCCATTTACACTAAGGAGAAAGAAGGGTTCACATAGCAAATCTTCAATGCAAATGTTTTCATTAAGTCCAAGGAACTGGAAATTGTATTATAATCCTCTTGCCTTTCATTCATACATCTGTATTGTTACACAGGTGAATTTTCTGTGGGAGACAAAAGAGGGAACAGATCTGATTCTAATCTTACTTTCATTATGTTAACTAGACCATTAATTTACCAGTGTATTACACTGCACTGGTGGAAATGGTAGTCCTAGGTATTGGTAGAGGTGAGAAATGACAGCCAAATTTAATAAATAAGTGCAAGCCTTTAATAAATAATAATGAATAATTTTTTTTCCTTTTAGTCTGAAGTAGAGTGAGGATATATGCTAGCAACATGTGAGCTCTTGAAAAGTACATTCGGGATCTGATTTTAGTGTGAAGTCTTTGTTTTTTGGATTTAGAGGAGGGGTTTGGAAAAGGAGGATGGAAAAATGGAATTAAAAAAATATGCAGACATCTTTGTAGTAACTTAAAATGCAAATTTGTTAGAGGCAGGAATGGTTTGGGTTTTTTTATTTCCTCTGCTTGACCTAAGATGCATCCCAGTTCTATTCCTAGGGAACAAAACTTATTCAGGAGCTTGCAAAGAAAAGCTGTCTCTAGGTGTCAGGCAGGGAGAAATTGCTTATGGAAAGAGGTTCTCCCCTCTGGGAGAGATCGAATATCAGGCTGAGCGAGCCCAGTCCAACCCGAAGAGCTCCCACCGACACCCGGTCCTTGCCGGAGGACTTTGCCACCGATGGCCGCCGCCTCCGGCCACGCTTTGCCAGGAGAGAGGGAGCGGGTGGGTGCGCAACTCCTGCCCGCTCCCTCCCTTTGATTTGATGGCCTTTATTCCTCCTAATTGGATAAAATAGGAAGTCACTGACAA